GCCAACCAAAAGAAGGTCATGTTTCACTCACTGTGGAGATGGAAGTGAAGCTCATACAGTGGGCCTATCAGTAGTCAGCCTCCTACCTCCCCTGAACTATGTGCATTAGTCATGTGACCACAGAAGTATACTCCAGTCACCTGCTTTGTCCAGAATTTCTGGAAGTTTCCAAGATGCAGCTGCTGCAGGTTTGTTGGCTCACTGGGTGTCTTAGGGTCGACTTTCAGAGCCACACACATCCTGAAATCATGACCAGCTGTAGGAAAATGCTTTCCTCTTTCCACTTTCCTGGCCATGGCATTGAGTGGGATGGACCAGAGAACAGTGTCTGCTCCCGGGCTCTATGTCATCAGCCTTGTGCACATGTGCTAGCCTTCATCACAGGCATAAAAATATCATGGTGCTGATCTGGTCAGGCAAAGTTCCATGTGGCCACTGTGCACAGTCACTCAGCAAGACTTGGGGAGTGAGCGCCCTCAAAACTCTGCCTAGCAGACATGCCCAGCACTGTATGATTCTACAACTCACTGACCCAGTGAGCATGGAGCACATCCTGTCTTAAAAGCTTTTTCTTATGGTTGGCTTGAGGGTCAGGTAACCATCCCACAGTCCTCCTCATAGACAGTATTTCTAAAAGTCTTAGGAGGAAATGAACTTGGAAAGTAAGTGATAGATCCCTATATGGTAAGAAAGATCAGCCCAGATCCGGATGCTGATAGACCAGGCCTTATGGGTGGGCTTGATGGGCAGCATGCACCCCACTGCCTCAAGATGAAAGTCACACTGGGTTCACACAAATGAGCTGCTGGTCCCTCTTCTTCCTTAAATGTTTTAGGATCTCCTTTGGCACTACCACTCAATTTCATTAGGTAATGCCTTTTTGCTTAGTGATCTATAGTGTACACACATACAGTTCTCTCACAGGGCACAGTCCAATAGTTTTGGGGGCTATCTGCTCTGTGCCCAGGACACTTGGATCTTCCTGATCTTTAAGAGGCCCATTTCCCATGAGCAGTGTCATGTGAGGGTGTAGTTGAGCCTATCCCTGAGGTCCTTGTACTGAAGGTGTTCACCAGGTAGCCATGTGGGAGGTGCTGAGCCTTTAGGGGACAGGGCCTAGTGAGAGAGGTGAGGTGTGTGTATGGGGGGGTCACCCTGCAATGGATTAGGGTGCTAGTTAGCCAGATAAGCTGTTGGGAAGGGAAAATCTAGCCCTCACCCCCTCTGGCATCCTGTCTGGCTATAGAGTCTGTTCCCCCACATGTTCTCACTCATTCCAGTGAGTTCTGGACTCATACAGTGCTGGGCATGTCTGCTAGGCACTTCCAGGCCATTCCCAGGACTGAGTAGTTACTGAAAAGCATCCAGCCTCAGGTGTTCTGTTTTGGCAACAGAGAGCTGAAGAAGCAGTCATCTCTTCTCCTCCCTACCTGGACACCCACCATGCTTTCTGTGTCTATGGATTTTCCTTTTTATGGTACATTTTATCAGTGGAATCAAACAGAAGCTGTGCTTTGGTCTCTGGCTCCTTTATAGAATAGCATTTTTAATTCTCCTGGTAGTAGATACTAGTGTTCTTTCTACAACGGACCAGTATTCCCATGTGGCCAGGCCATGTTTGGCTTACCATGTTTGACTCAGGCTGTTTCCATCCTCTGTGATTATCATGAATGAAGTTTCTGTGAGCGTTTATAAACAAGGTCCTATGGACATCTGTGCCCTCTTCCTGATACATACCTGGGTGACATTGCTATGTCACATGTGACTGTCTTCAGCTACCCGGTACCACCAGACTGTTTTCCAAAATGTTGGGCAGTCTCCTTCTACCTTGGAGTTCTGCTGAGGAGGGTAAGGTTGATTCTGGGGGTTAGGCGGTGCCAAGGGCTGCATATCTGGCTTTCATGATCCATGAAAGGGCAAGGGGCAGGGCCCTCACACGTATACCAGGTTCTTTCTGCACATAGCACCTCCAAAATCCAGTTCTTCCCATCCAGCCCTATAACACTTATCAGTGCTAGTTCTTTACAATGCTGGGATGTTTGGACCTTCTCCACCCTTGAGGCCAAAGGAACACAGATACGGGGCTAGGAGGACAAGGCCTTCTGCCCCACCCCAAGGAGGAGGTGAAACATCTCAGGAAAATGCTCAGCTCCTAACTAAACTCCAACTGCTTCCACATGTGGAAACAGCAGCTCACCCCCCCCCCCGACACACACCCTGGCGTGTGACTGGCCTGTGGGCCTGCAGCAGTGGCGGCAGCAGCAGCGTCCTGCAGCCTGTGGAACTGCCTCAGACCCACAGGCTGGCTATGTGGAAACCTTAGGCGGGTGTGGTGGGGAAGCCTTTCCGATGACTCATACTGCAGGGAATTCCCTAATGATTTGGAATATTTTTACTTCTGGACTGTAGCACAGTTTCCTACCGAGAATGTAGGGAGCTCCTGATAAGACAGGACACAAAGGCCCTTTCAGGATGGCCAGCTCCCTTCCTGGTATAGGCTCAGTTTTAAACAGTGTTGTTAGCCTGCCTAGCTGAGGATGCTGTAGACCCATCTGATGGCCCAGGGTGCGCCTCACAGCTGATATCCAGAGTCTTGACAGACAAGCTTCTCGTTCTCTGATGATTTCATCAAGAATACAAAGAGCCATCTCCACATTGCTAGGTCCCCTGTCTCCTGCTGGAAGCAGTGGCTGCATGCGCATTCCAACCTTAGCACACATGCCTATTTCAGAAGATCACAGTCAGCAACAGTCCTTCAGAACATGAAGCACCATCACTCACTCTCCTCGCTGTGACAACTGTAGATGGAAGACCTGGGGCAGAATAGGACTAGTCCTTTGGGTAGCTTTCTGCCTTCTTCACCTGGGAGGAAGCTGATAACAACACATACACCTTGATGTCTCCAAGGAGACAGATTTTCAATGGGAAGCTGCATGCCATGGATGACCTGACTTAGTGTAATTTAAAAGGCAGGAATTGAGCTCTATCTTGTTTTCTGGTGGTGTGCATGGTACTGGGCAGGAGCTGGCCAGTCATGGTACAGTAGCTTACAGTGGCCCCCTTCTTAGCCACTTTCATGGGGACATCCCTTGCCACTACGAAACAGGAGGGGAAAGCCATTTATTCTGCATGCCCAGTGGCCATTCTACGTGCATGCCTGCATTTCATTAAATGTTTAATGTGGTTTGAACTTTCAAAGTACCCTGCTCAGGGTTTGAGCTGGTTTGAGTCTACCTCCAACCTCAGAGATGACAAGGGTACTGCCCCAATTCCTGAAGGATGTGAAATGTAATGTCCCTCCACTCCACAGAGCACCTCAGTTTCCTTCTTCCCTCTCCTAGTACTTTCTGTCCCCCCTCCTCAGACAGAAAGACTGTACTTTTCTCCAGATGGCTCTCAGCCCTGTCAAGGGCTTCTAGGCTGGCAGAGGCCATATGGCAGTTGGTACACCTGCCTGCAGGTGAACCCACTGCAGTTTCTCTGGAGGTGGAGAAAGGTAGTCTCACACTAGGAGCTTTCAGAAGTTGTATTAAAGGCATCATGAAGATGCTGCCTCTGCCTTGTGAAGGGCAAATCTAACCTTTACAAACAGCACGCCACTGAGCTATACAGCATGGCTAGTGGGAGCTGTACACAAGAGCACTCCTGGCTATGTGGTACCATGCATGCCTGAGGCTGACAATACTTCTTGGTCAAAGTTGCCAAGCAGCCAGGGCCTAGGGAGTACTGTTCCTGACATTCTGATGTTCTAGGGGTGGCCAGGTATATCTTTGGTGTCCTTCTGTTTTCCCTAAGGGGTGTGGATACTGGTCCATTCAGATCCTTCCATGGGCTCATCTGATGGGTCATTTGCTCAGGGCCTCAGGCGTCCTAGAGGCTGGCATAGCTTGGCAAGGCTGGATGGCTCTTGGGGCCCTTGGTGACTCACGTTTCCACCCTGTGCCTCCACCCTCCACCCACCACCCTGCCCAGCACTGAGGGAGGGAGATAGTGTCTTGATTTATCAGTAATGTAGGGTTAGGGAAAGACAAATGGAGCATAAGCAAAAACCCAGCATGTTCCTAGAATGGCTCATCTCAGGAACTGACTTCATTCTGGAGAAGATAAAAGCTGGGATGAACATCCGTCAACGTAGTGGCCACCCAGCTGTCCACAGGTCATAGCCTGTTAGCAGGACTGGGGACACAGAGCCTGTGAATGGCAGACACCCTTCCTCTGAGTGCTGGGCCCACACCTCGACGCCAGCTAAGAACAATAAGTCCTTTCACTGTGCCTCTGGGAACCTTTTAATTTTTTTTTTTTTTTTTTTTTTTTTTAACATGCAAACGGCCACTGGGCTAAGGTTAAAAATACCAAGTGTTTTGCATTTCTGGGTCCTGATGTGGCAAGAAGTAGTCAAAGAAAGGCTTTTCTTATTTTCCCAACAGTTCCTCTGGGCAGAGGCTGGGGCATTGCTCTAACTTCTGCTCCCCGAACACATTGGAGGTTGGGGGACACAGCACCAAGTGGCAGACCAACCAAGTTGGGCTGTGTCTAAGCACAGCACATGTCTTGCTGGGTTTGGGGGTCTGTCTGTCTGCCTATCCTCTGTTTTAGTCTCCTTTGAAAAGACTGAGATATAACCCTTCCCTGATGTGTGCTGGAGCTAGTGAGATGTGTATAAACATGGACACAGGGATGGACCACTGGAAACACTCGTGGCTGTGTAGTTCTCTCCTCAAATTGAACCCTGGGTATAGTATTTGGACTGTACTAGGATCACAGGGCCAGTATTCTTGGTCAGGCCAGCCACATGCCATCCTTCATGAGGGCTGGCTGTCCAGGGGATCCAGAGCACTTCCCTGATCCACAACCCTGAGCAGTAGGCAGTGTCCTTTGCGGACTAGCCATTCCTTCTCATTCTTCCCTCTGTGAGCCTCCGTTTTGGGGTCACCTGGGAGGTTTCAAGGACAGGCTGCCCCCACACAAAGTGACAGACTTCTTCCTGCCCTTTGTTCCAGATGGCCACCACGTCTGGGAGATGGAAGCAAAAACTGACCGAGACCTGTGCAAGCCAGTAAGTGCTTAGAACCCTGCAGCAGGGTCTGGGGGCCGGGCTGGGGCTCCTGTTTGTTAAAGTGAAGCAACTCATAAAGATAGACAGAGGCAGTTATAATACAACCACAAAGCTCTTTCCTGAACAAGTGCTGTTAGGCTATAAGGATAGAATTGGGACAGTAGCTGAGTACAAGAAACCGGAGAGGGCAGAGACCTCTTTGTGCTGAATGAGCTTTGTTGGTTTTTTTTTTTTTTTTTTTTTTTTTGAGACAGGTTCTCCCTGTAGCCCCAGCTGTCCTGGAACTCACTATGTAGACCAGGCTGGCCTTGAACTCACAGAGATCCGCCTGCCTCTGCCTCTCAAGTGCTGGGACTACAGGTGTGTGCCACCATGCCCAGCTGAGCTTTGCTTTTTAAAGGTACCAGGAAGCAGCCACCGCCCTGAGTCTCAGAGGGTAAGCTCTGATGTATCTCCAGAGAAGCTACCCAGTGGAGACAGTTGTCTCTGGTCTGGGGTCCTGTCTCCTTTTGCTGATCATATGGCCCCACATAAGTATCTACCCATTAGAGACCTTAGACCTTAGTGTTTTAAGCCTTACGCGTGGGCACCCAGCACATGTCTGGACATGCCACATTGCCTGTGTGGCTTGTCACCACCCTCTCCAGAGAACGCCCCAATGGCCTAGCAGATTCTTGTTTTGAACTTGACGTTAACTGCAAGGGCAGACCTAACCGGATAGCTCAGATCTGCTGGTTGGGTTTGCTGGTGAGCCATGGTAAACATGTAGCATGATCTGTGACATCACTAGTCTTTGTCTCTTACCTGTCTCCTGACACCAACTGGTGCTTCCTCTTTATCGTACTTTCTTGGTACCATGTGCACATAGTAGATATTATAGGGTCATTATTGTTTGTGACTGGTTAATTGTGGAGCTGGTTTTGTTATTGTTGCTACTACATGTTTCTGATTGCTATTGAGGTCTATCCTCCTCCAGCCATTTGTCTCAACATCTAAAATGGCTGTTGGAGACAGAGTCAGTTCTTATTTGTTGACCCTAGTCTATCTCCATCATTCCAACAATTTATCTATTTGTTTTGTTGCTTTTTTTTTAGTTCTGGGAATTAAACTAGGGCCTCACACATGCATGTCAAATGTTCTATCACTGAGTTATGCTCCTAACCTCAACAGTGTCTTTTAATTGGACATTAGGCCACAGATGTTTACAGCAATGATAGATGCTGTCCAGTCAGAAACTGCCACTGAGTTCTGTGTGTGTTTTTCTAGCCTCAGAAGAACATAACATACCATGGCCAGTGAGCAAGTTTTTGAAGACATCCCAAATCCTTCCCAGTCTATAGCTCATTCTACTGACTCCTGTCTGATAGTATTAGCAGCCTTCTCATGACTGCAGGGCATGGGGAGCGCTAGTGTGCTCCTAGTATGTGGAAGTGGATTCAGAAACTTGGTTTGAGTGAAGGACTTTTTCTCTTGGGCCACCTGTGAACACTGGGCAGCCAGAATCATATGAACAGGACACATGGATGGTGGGCCTCCCAGAGTGTACAAGTGGTCGCGCCTCCCACAGTATAGCAGTCACCCCTGGGTATTTGTTTCCTTCGCTGAAGGCTCAGGCTACTTCCCTGTTCTTCAGGTGACTGTCAAAATGAAACATCATTTGACTTGTAACCTCAGTTACCCTCCCAGGTACTGTTCACTTTCAAGAGCCTTTCTAAGTACTGATCAGGTGGAAAAGTCCTCCCTGGCCTAAGTGAAACTTGTTTCTTACTCATCCCTAGCTTCCTCCCTCCCACAGGAGGGGTCTTTCTCTGTCTCAGTCTTATTTCATGACTTCACTTGAGAAGCCCTTGAGGGAATGCTGGAGAAAGTGGCAGAATGTGGGTAAGCATGCACATGTGCACACACAGACACACAACACATACAGTCACATGCAGACATACAAACTGTGCGTGCAGGCACACACACAGACATACACACATCTATGTGGCACTTGCAGATATTTTTAAATGGGTTTCTGCTGTATTGTGGCTATCTACTGCATCTAATTAAGAACAAGACCTCCAGACAATGGATTTTCCTAAAGCCTGTGCTGGTTGCAGCCCTTATTGTTTCCAACATTAACAAGCTCCCATCCTTTGATTTCAGGTTACAGTTCCTCCTGCTTCCTTCCTTGTGTTTAAGAGCAGAACTCCTGTGGAAGTGATGTGTTTGTTGTATGATCTGTCTGTGTAGAGGGTCAAAGTGCACTGGCCTGTGTCCACATTAGACACTACCCTCTCTGGTCTTGTGGAATCAGCAAACACCAAGCCCAGGGAAAGCTTCCCCTGTGGGCCTCTTGAGTTCCTTCCACACCACGGCTTCTGCTGACACCTCAGAGGTCCTTTTTGCTTCGGCACTGAGCACCAGCAAGACGTTTCCTTTTTGTGTCTTTTCCTTTCTTGAACTCTGAAGAGTTGCTTCTTTGTAGACTCCACAATAGCTACCATTCTTGAGTGCCAGCTGTGTGTAGGCAGCAGCACTGCCTGCAGAGTCTTCCTGCATGGATCAAGTCCTCAAAATCCACACTGTGGCAGCATCTTTCTCTTCATCCAACTGAACTGGGGGTGCAGGTTTCCCAGCCAGATTTCCATGAGCTGGGCAGAGTCCATAGCTGAGTTCCATGACTGCGGGCAACTGCCTGCAAATGTGGCCGTGCATTGTGGGCAAGCACACCACAGACTCCATCTTCCACCTTTTGCTTGTCAGCACTTTGGCTAACAGAACAAAGTGCTCAGGCAGAGAGAGTGCTGTGCTCTTGTTTCTTTCAAATGAAGCGAATGTGGTGCGACAACAGCAGCAGGTAGCTGGAGTGTATGGGGTGGGGGTGGAGCCGAGGGGGACAGAGCCCAGAGGATGCCCTAGCCAGGCCCTGCCCCTAGTGCTGCTGTCTAAGGGCCCTCAGTGGCAGGCTTCATGGGTAGTAAAAGAGGCTGGACCTGAAGTTCTTTAGAGTCCTGTTTCTAATGCTGAGGTTTTATTATTAACATAACTCAATAAAGTTTGCTGTAATTGATTTGCTACCATTATAGCAAGCTATTGTTAATTACTTTAACAAAAGAAATAATAACAATGGATTTTTATGACACATTTTTCCCTGCTTGTTAAACTAAAATCATATGATGAAAGAAACAAAATGAAGAAACTATGGATTTGAAATCCCCTGCAGAAATCAGGTGTAGCACTCTGAATTACTGGCCCTCATCGAGGTGGCTGTGCCGTGTTTAGCGTTCACCTAGGGCTGGGCTCCTCCAGGACTCCCTAGCTCACGGTCCTTATTTGTTCCCACCCAGTTTCCAGGACCCATGGTATACATTTTATGGTTGACCTTGAAAGAGCATGTAAAAAGCTTGCAGATTTCTGTTTTTTTTTTTTTTTTTAAAAAAAGAAAGAAACAAACAAACAAAGAAACAAAGAAGGAAAGAAAAGAGCAGCCATTACAAACTCTGTTCTCTGCCTTGTGCTCTTTAACTGTCCCACCGCCCTGGGCTGAGTACTGCTTTGTTTTCATTTTGAGAGAATGGGGGGATTCTGGAGGAACTGTTGTGGCCATTATCACATGCCTGTTCTCAGAGACAGTGACCCCAGGGTACACCCCCTGGGCTGTCTGCCTACTTATAAGAGGTGCCTCTTATAAGTAGGCAGACAGCAGTTCTTTTTGTCTTAAGTCACTAAGCCTTGGGGATTGAGACAGGCTCAGGCCTTGGAGTCTTCTATCCCAGTGAAGTCAAGTGTACTCCCCTCCAGATGCTCACAGGTGGCCCTTGTGGGTTCTCCCCTCTTGGACTCAGAGCCACCATGAAGATCTCCAAGCTTCTAGCCATATAAGAACATGGGACACCTCCTTCCTGTGACCATACACGATGGCCAAGCCATACTCAAACACATGAATGGGTCACACACAGAAGCCACTGTCCAAAGCCCTCTGGGTGATTGATGATGGTTGTTGGGTTGACAATGGGCAGAAGCCCCATGTAAGTGAAGCGCCCTGGTCTGTAAGGTGCTAGCTGACTGTCTGCTTCCTCTTTGCTGTTTTCTCACCAGAATTCCCTGGTGGTTGAAATACCACCTTTCCGAAACCAGAGAATAACCAGCCCTGTCCAAGTCAGTTTCTATGTCTGCAACGGGAAGCGGAAGAGAAGCCAGTACCAGCATTTCACCTACCTTCCTGCCAATGGTAACGCTGTCTTTCTAACCTTAAGCACTGAAAATGAGCGGAGAGGATGCTTTTTCTAAGCTGCGGAGGCTGTGAGAGGATGTTGTTATAAAAACAGTGTGGCTGTGTTGCATGTTCACACCACTTGGTAGCCTGTTCACAAGACTGAGTCACCCACCCCCTCAAAGAGAAGCGAAGCCTGGGTATGTTTTCCCATGATTGGTGCATGCTGGAGTAATCACTTGCTGGCCTCTTGCAAATATGCAGTGGCCATGCAGCTTCTCTACACTCACAAGCTGATGCGGTCTGGGTATGTGTCTAACTTCTGTGAGTTAGAAACGTGAACTGGTGGAGCAGTTTTATAGGTAGCTTCAGAAATAAATCCTGGTGTTCAGCCAGAGGCCAGTGCCTGCCAGGGTCACTGGGGAACATAAACGATTTTGTCCTCATGGTGATGGTTCCACACAGTGCACGGCACGTCCCCACTGAATAACATCATCCCCTGGTGACGTGAGGCTTTGGGATGGAAGTTCGTCTGCTCAGTTTATTCATTTTGGGGATGGTGTCTTTTTATTCACAATCAGTTCACCTTTTCAACTTTCTAGGGTGTTTTCTTTAAGAAAATTTCATTTATTTTTCACTCCCTAAGCTAATAAGAAGGTGTGTCCCAGGCATCCAGGACTTCCTGTGTGGCACAGGTCACTCTCTTGTGGCAGGATGTGTGTGTAGAGAGCACAGTGGGTTGTTATCCTGAGTTCTATTGTATTTTGGGTAAGCTCAGCTATGTCAACAACCTTTTTATATTGTTGCCTTTTTTTTCCTAAAAACTTAAGAGATCCATATAATTTGGGAGGGAAATTATACACTAAAAACTATTTGTGAAAGCAGCCACATTGCTATCTTAGTAAAATCAAGATTTGTTTTTTTAAGTTTCAGTTTTCTTGACATGTTAAAGGCATTTGCAATGAATTTACGCATTAAGAAAGCCCTCAAATGTCAAAGTTGGTGTTGAAATGCTATAATCAACTATCTTATCAGACAAAGCCTAGAATTGCCCTTCAAAACTAGAACAGTGAAATTAAATTTTCAAGCAAGGACCTCTGAGAACTAGCCTCAGCCCCGCTGCCCACATCTCATCCTGCCACTGCTCTGGGATTTAAAGCAGCATCTTGCTCCTACTTCCTAAGTCTCTTCCTCTCTTGGAATAATGTACAATATTTCTTACAAAAGCAAATATTTAGTCTTTTTTTGTAAAGTGCAATGATTGTGTCCTAATTAGATTTTCAAGCATGGTTGACCAAAATTTGAACATTGTAAAGAAGGTCTAGGCCTTATAAAGAAAAATCACTCTCTACAGCAGTGCGGGAAATAGCATGAAAATTCATTTCTCCTTTGTTTGTTAACTCAAGTCCCTGTTGAAGGTTTACATGGTGCTGAGTTTTAGCATAAAGTTCTATGTATATCAGGTAGAGGGGTCTGCATGTATCGTGAAGCCCCAGGGCCTGGTACCTGAAATCCTGAAGCTGGTGCCTGAGTTCACCACTGACTCCCACACCACCTCTCCACCCTGATGTAGCATCCCATCCTGCCAGTTGCTCCCCACTCTGTCATGAACCCATCTGCCTCCCATGTTCCACATAGACCTCTTTCTGGACCCCTTCTGCTGATCATCATCTACCCAGTGAGGTTCACGTATGACTCAGGTCTTCCTCAGCCCCTCCTGGGTTCAGCCATCTGGTTCTGGCCTCTCTTCATCCTGCTGTCCCGACTTTTGCCTCCAGCCCAAAGATGGCTGTCGGCCATCAGCCTGGTCCCAGGGACTGTGACCACGTTCCTACATCACCGGACTGTGAGCTCCTTCAGAGAGACCTGGACCAGCACGGGGTTGAATCCCCAGCATTGTTCATTGCCTGAGGCCTGGCCGGCTGTCAACATGTGCTTCTTAAAACAAATAAACATGCAGATGGAGAACCCCAGCTCCCGTGTCCCGTGTTCTATCTGTTGCTCTCTCTTCACACTCAGTGCCGTCCACATTTCTGGGGCTGTGTCTTTGAGGATGCTTATGTTGACAGATGACCACGTTCATAGCACTCACGTTCTCAGATCAATGCATTTGTGTTCTGGAGCCCCTCAAGGGCAAGTGGAGTCCTCTTAATTAGCCTGGCTCCACTTTACTTCTGCTTTGCTCCTTGGACACTGGCTGTGAAGTTATAAGCCTTTCTCCTGGGTTTTTCTGTACTGTTAAGTGCGTTTCATATGCATTTGTACTACACATGTCTATAGCCACTGTGGCCACAAGTTCTTAAGATCATAAAATAGACTGTTGAGGTTTTTGAGAAAACAGGAATAAATCCACTACCTGCGAAATTCATTTTCATGTACAAATTTGTAAAACCAAGACTCATTTAGATTTTCCTTCAAACTTAGGTATGAGGATACTTTGAGAGGCTATACCAAACACCTCTTCTCTTATACCCTTGGGGAAGGAAGAGGCCCCCATACTGGCCCCTTTGAGTTTCAGGGCGTTAGATATCAAAATACTCAAGGCATTTTGCTACTTGTGAGGAGGAAGGCACACCTCTTGGCCACCAGTTTTCCGTACTTTTGTCTTGTCATTAAAGTTGCCTCCTGATGCCTCTTCAGTAGATAACCCAACCGGTTGACACCCACCTGTAGACCTGCACCATCCTCCTTCTTCCTCACTTTCCAACTAAACTGTAACAGTAGTCAGATTGCAGGGAAATGGGGCAAATATACAGGGTCTCTTGGCTTTGTGGGGCTGATGTCTTTGGTAAATGGTCTGTGGTGGCCCTAGAAGGGCAGCCTGACCTCCTTTACCCCCTGACGGTGTGTGTCTAACAGAGAAAAGTCTCTGCTTGAATGTAAGACACTATAAGCAAAGTATGCACACCCCGTTGGAAATCCAGCACAGGGGCCCCCTCTGGTGTCCCTGGGATAGCCATCAGACACAGATGGTAAAAACATCTGCAACCTGAGAGGAGGCAGCAGAGCACCCAGACCAGCTAGAGAGGCCTCAGGGGCCTCTGGAGTCTCTTGTCTGTCACTGTTTTTGCCTCACTCTAAAAGGAGGATGGAGGATGGACTGTCTTCTTCACTTGGGCTAGGATGCCCTGGAACCCATCATGAAATGGGGGCTATGCCAGGAATGTCTTGGTTTGAGGCCTTATTCCAACATGTCAGAATTACATAGCTACGAATGGGTATGGAGGACATCTCCTTGGGTTCCAAGGTTAGCATCCATGACAGCCTGAGGTGTTGTAGAGGATCTCTATCCCTAGTCCAAGCAGGGCAGGATCTGACATCTGCCCTTTGACACAGGGTAAAGGGGAAAGAGAACCAAATTGTCATCTCAAAAGCATGTCCAAAAGCTGATGTTTCTGTATAATGAGAAAATAAATCACAACAAGCCACTGGATTTTTGAGACTCAGTCTCTTTATCTGAAACTGTTTTAGCTGGTTGGGAATCCCTGGCCTTCCCGGACAGTACAGGGTTATAAAGGTGAGAGTACCTCTCATCCTGAGTCCCGGAACACCTGCTTCTGGGCACTGGGTACTTGTGTGACAACAGAGACCCATCTGGTGACAGAGACCAGTATATGATTATAAGGTAGGGAAATCACTTCGGCAGGACCAGTGTCAGTCAACCAATCCCCAGGGAAGGCTAAGCCCACAGGGACAAATCTACCCCAGAATTGGGTGTCCCTGGGCCTCTCAGCCCTCTATCACCTTCCTGCAAGGGCATGGACTTGGGTGGAGCCATGCATGATCTGGAGAATCAAATTTCACAAGAAAGTGTCAAACTTGCTTCCCTTCCTAATTATTAACCAGTATGACTTTCTGGTCATATGACAGGGACCTAAGACATGTTTCCACCTCAAGGAAATTAAGGGGAGTAGCTTCCACTGGATTCTGGTTGTATTGTTACAACCAAGGCATTGTTACAATCTAGGCACTATGGAGGCTTGGTAGACAAACAGAGCTCAAGGTCCCAGCCATGGAGGCAGAGCCCCATCTCATTATGCATTCCTGGACATCATGGTCCCTATAGCTCAGTTGTCTTGACCATGGCACTACTGCAAATCCTGGCCTCAGCTCATAACCATCCTGGCCTGGATACCGAGTGAGACACTTAGAGAACCCTTCTGGCTAGGGTACAGAGTGAGACACTTAGACCCTGAAGGTACCTCAGTATTATGTACAGCCCACAACTCTCTGCCTGCACTTCCACTGCCCAGCATATGGTCTCTCTCCTGTTAGGAACTTAGGGGTGAAACCTGGGGTTTCCCTCACTTGTGGGCATTCAGCCTCCCCACCCCCACCAGCCTGTTCCTCATCAAAGAGCCCACCCTGATTTTAAATAACAGTGATCATAGTGTGCTGTGTGACTTGTAAAGGTGTATTAATTCTGAGGAACTTGGCTTCTTGCTATCCTTCCTAAAAGCAAAATAAAGTCCTCACAGAGATCAGAGGGCAAGTTGGGCCAGGAGAGCTGCCCCTGGCTGGTGGAGCTGCAGGTAGTAGCATCTTCCCTCAGCTTCCAGTGACCTCAGCAACCAGCTGGCCACTGCAGCCTCCAAAGTCACTGTGCTCAATAGTGTGGCTGGTCCTGTGAACACCCTAGAACATTCTTCCTGAGCCAACTCAGCCACAGGATAACCCTGTGTGGTAGAGCTGAATCTCTGTCAGAAAGTGGTAGATGTCCTGATGTTCAAATGACACTGGGCAGTAGACATGTGAGAGAATGGCCAAGGGCTGTCTGGACCCCTGACTTCAGGACACCTGGCCCCTTAAAAGCTCAAGTACATCCCTAGTGTTGAGGGCATCTGTTTCTTGCATATACTTTAAGCCTGATGTGGTAGAGATAAAGAGAATTAACTCTTGCACACAATGGGATACTGGCCTCTCTGCACCCAGGAGGAATGTTAAACTCTAGAAGAAGTCATTTCTACATCTTGTGGTCTCCTAGATCTCCCCAAATGTTAGAAAGTCTCAAGTTAAAA